AAAGTTAAATTTCTTTTCAAGCGACACTGTCAAGAAAATGGAAAAAGAAGTCATAGCTGAGAAAATATCAGCACAGCATGTGCCGGATCCATATAAACAGCACTCAAGATTTAACCAGACAAATGGACCGCCCCTAAAAAGAGCAAAACTACCTAAATAATTTCTCAAATAAGCACAGGTGACCAGGAAGCGATACACATGCAATCATCAGACCTCAGGGAAATGCTAGCAGCCCCACAAGAAACCACTACCTACAAGTCAGAAGGGTTCAAACAAAGACAAAACACCAAAAGCTCACTGCACCAGGGTGTGCAAGCACACACAGCAACTGCAACTCCGCTACGTCTGGTCAGAGGGGGAAATGGGATAGCTACCTTAACAGTCTGGTAGTTTTGCAACAAAAAATAGCACAGGCAGGACATCAGACTGTATACCCCTTGGTCTTCACTGGAGAATGGTGAAAGCATGCTTACAAAACAGCTGCATGCGAATATTCAAATGGCCAGCTGTGTGGTTGCTAACAAAGTCCATCAAAAGGTGAGTAGCTACAAGACCGGCATGCTCACACAGTGAACTGTTTATACAGCACCAAACACAGAAAGCTACTGATAAACACCTCAGTATGTGTGAAAATAATTATTCTGAGAAAAAGCACAAATATACACAGCATTAACTACAACGTACATACAAAATTACTAGTTATATATAACTGTAGAAGAGGAGAAAAACCTTGCTCCTGCTCAGCTATCCAGGGATAAGCAGAGGGAGGAAGAAGCAATCCATTACAAGGAACAAGTCCTTCCCGTGACCATGTTTATCACCTTTAGTGTGAGGACAAGACCATAGCATGTCAGTAATTAGAGTATTTCCACAAGTGTGGTTTATGAAGCCTCAATAAAATCGCAATAAATCTGTAAAACAAAGTATTTACTGGTCAACGCTTCTGAAATATTAGCTATCATTATAATTACTAATGTATGAAATAAAAAAAATTTACGAAGAGTCTGGACTCCTCACTCAAAGAGAGGCATGTTTCTGACCTATCTCCAGTTTCTAGCTCCCTGAGACATAAAATCTCCATACTCCCCTTCATAGAGAATCCTTAGTCACAAAAAAAGAGGAAAAACAAACGGCTGCAACGAGGGAGAACTGTACAGCATTACCAGAAAGCAGTCTGCCATCAGCAGTCGCCTGGATCAATTCCTAATCACCAGAGATGCCCAAGACATGGAGGCAATAACTTGATGTTAATAAAGATTCACTGAAATCACGCATGGTGGTGCACACCTTTGAATCCAGCACAGGCAGGCAGGTCTCTGAGTTCAAGGCCACCCTGGCCTACAAAGTTTCAGGCCAACCTGAACTACACAGAGCAATCCTGTCTTGGAAAACAAAAAGCAAAACAGAAAGATTTACTGAATGATTCCTAATTACTGAATGATTCCTAAGCGTCGGGCATCACTAAACACTATGCAGTTTTCCACGTATGGGCACACACCCCGTCACAGAGTCTAAGCTAATCCTGGCAGCCAGAAGTAACAGGAGTGTCCCTTGCCACAAATATCACCTATGCTGCTTCCACACACTGAACGGGTTTACGGACCTTTCCAGTACATAGAAGGACGTTATATGCATCACTTGGTCCCCTCTCTGTTTCATGATTATGTTCTAACAACTGAACCAAGCTACAAATAGCAGCCTTTCATTCAGAGATATTTTATAAATTATTACACTTTCTTTAAAAAATAATTCCATTAGCTTAGAAATCACTAAAATGGAATCCTTAAAATAGATCACCCTATTTCTGCTTTTACTCAAGTTTATGATTAATTTACGACATCTAATAGAACACAGCTTTACATATGGAAACATTCTTTACAGGAAAAAGAAGCCTCGTTGATAATTTAGTACCCATCATTTCTTTTTAAGGCAAGTTCCTTTCCCACAAAGAAGACACTAAGAATTCATTTTACTGCTTGTGAAATGGGTAAGAAATCAAATGTACATTTCCTGTGATTTATCTTGAATTAGCTTTGATATTAAGAAATATAAAGCCTCTTAATAATCTATGTTACTATTTGCTTTTACTATCCAATGACATTTAGTCAGCTGCTATAATATACACACAGTCACAGAAGACTATTTACCACACAAGACGCTGCTTTGTGGCACTGTCATATGCGGTAGAGATACAGAGGAATAAAGACTCAGATCTTTACCCTTGTGACACTTACATTCTAAAGGGGCAAGACCGACAACAAACGAACAAGAGCAATACAGATACAGTGTGGCCAGTTTTGAAAAATTTAACAAAACAAGGCAAAGATTTAGGAGGCAGGGACTCCAGGGAGGGTGTTGGAGGAGGAGAAGAGGGTGGTGGCTGCCCCTTTAATAGTTGGTCTTCACACATCTTTAATGAACAGAGGATAATGCATAAATTAACGTGGAATTAACACAGATTTTATTCATCTGATTAATGGGAAAGATGCATCACAGACAGGAAATATGAAAGTGAAGTTAATGCTCTCTGTGTCTGCTAAGGACTAAAAGAATAAACACAACACAGCAGTTGTCAGTTTCTTTTTGTCACCAGATGATCCCACCAAAATCAATACTCCTGCTTCCACTGCCAATGGGGACGTGGTTCTTAAAGCAAACCCCATACTACTAAGTTTCACACACGGTCCAGAACACTTATCATGTATCACTCCTAAAATTAAGTTAGCAATCTGAAATGAATTCTGACTGGCAAAACTAGATATACGTCAGTATCAGACAATTATCTCACACATGAAAACCAGACAAAGCCAGATGAGAAAAATGAAAAATGAGAAGACTAGTTTTCTAAAGTGGCCATAAAATGCTGTGAAATAATCCTTCTGTTCACTGTAAATATTTATTGTTCTCAGTGTTAATAAAAAGCTGATTGGCTGATGGTTAGGCAAGGTTTTCGGGGCAGAGAGAATGCTGGAAAGAGGGTGGAGCCAGGAGTCGCCATCCAGACATGGAGAAGAAACAGGAGGTGCAAGATGAAAGAGAGGTAAGGCCATGTGGCAGGATGTAGATTAATATAAATGGGCTAATTTAAGTTGTAAGAGTTAGCTAGTAACAAGTCTGAGCTATTGGCTGAGCATTTATAATTAAAAAGTTTCCATGTGGTAATTTGGGAATGACTGCTGAGACACTCCGACTACAACAAAATCCTAGATTTTATTATTGTTGTTTTGCTTGTTTTGCTTCTGAGACAAAGTTTCTCTGTATATCCCTGTCTTGGAACTTTATCTGTAGACCAGGTTGGTCTTAAACTCAAGAGATCACCTACCTCTGTCTCCCAAGTGCTGAGATTAAAGGTGTGTAGCACCATTGCCTGACTAAAATTATAGATTTTATTTTATTTTATTGGGAGTTTCTCAAGACAAAATTCTCTGTGTAGCTTTGGAGCCTGTCCTGGCACTGTGTAAACCAGATTGGCCTCAAACTCACAGAGATCTGCCTGCCTCTGTCTCCTGAGTGCTAGGGTTAAAGGCATGTACCACCACACCTAGCTAAAATCCTAGATTTTAAAAACAAAATTTCTCAAACTATTCTAACATATACAGATAAGTATTTGAGCATACTATTTTTAAACCAAGTTTTTTCTTTTTTTAAAGTAGAAGAACAGTGGGTAATTTTATTGTTCTGTTAAAGTCACGTAATAAATTGCTACTCAAATGGGTCTAAAGCTCAGGGCTCTTTTAAAGTTTGAGAATTACATAGAAATCAAAGGCCTGCCAGTTATCAAGAGTCTCTTTTGAGGAATTTTTTTACAAGATTCCCATATGATCTGTCCCACTGTTTGCCAATGCTTTAAAAACTCGACATCCCTCTTATTTCAAACCCTTTGTAGGAGGGAGGCCGCTAGTTAGTTCCCGGCTGCTTAGCCCCAAAATAATCACACAGAAACCATATTAATTAAATCACTGCTTGGCTCATTAGCTCTAGCTTCTTATTGGCTAACTCTTACTTTTTTTTTTGGTTTTTCAAGACAGGGTTTACTCTGTAGCTTTGGAGATAACTCTTACATATTAATTTAACCTATCTCCATTAATCTGTGTATCGCCACATGGCTGTGGCTTACAGGGTAAAGGTCCTAGCGTCTGTCACTGGCAGTGGCTCCATGGCTTCTTTCTGATTCCCTTTCTCCCAGAATTCTGTTTAGTTTTCCCCCCCACCTAGTTCTGCTCTTCCCTGTCATAGGCTCAAAGCAGTTCTTTATTCATTAACCAATAAAAACAACACATAGACAGAAGGACCCCCCACACCAACCCTTAAACCTGTCTCCTTTAATTTCCACTTACTTCTCTTATTTTTTCCCTACAATAACCAAAACAGGTCTATTCTCCATGGCTAGTCTGTGATGGGCAAACTGAAGACACTCACTTTGGGTTCTCACAATTCAGCTGAAAAATCCCCAGACCTTCATTTATTTCCCCACAAGAGCACCCACGTCTCTACAAGTTTCACTCAAACCTCATCTACGGTTCTAAGTCGTGCAACTTCTTTCTTTATGCATAAAAATTCTCTTGTAAAACTGCTTAAACTCAACTAATTCCTCTTGATGAGGCCCCAGCATGTATCTTGTTCATCTTTTATGTGTGAAAATACTTTTTGGAACCTAAAGTTCTCCGAAGTAATGGCAATTGGTCATTACTGACAATTAGTTATTTTTATTTATTTCTATACAACTGGGCCATAATCTGCACAGCTTAGAAATAAACAAAACCATAGAAATGATTAGTTTATTTAGCATCTACGTGTAAAGTGCTTTTATTCGAACTATAACCAACAGCCCATGTGGTATTCCTGTGTATTACACAGTTTTCTAGACTTCTCTAGATGACAGAACTCTCACTTCTGGGCTAGGGCCCGGTGAGCGGCAGCTTGAGAACCCGCACAGGCCTTGGTCAGCTCGGGGGCTTTAGATCACAGCCTAAGGTTTCATTCAGACTAAGTCATCTCACCTGTAATCCTGGAATAAATCGAGTGTCCTTCTCAACCACCAGAAGTTCAGCAATATTGGCATTGAGAATGGATCTGGTGATTCCCCCAGGCCCGGGGCCCACTTCATAAACATAAACATCTTCTAGATTGCCAGCTTTCCTTACGATTTTGTCTAAAAAGAAAGAGTTCACTTTATTATCACGGCAACTTTCCTAAGAATATCCAACAGTTACTATTAATTATTTAGCTCTCACTCTGAACCAACACATAAGTCATTAAAATCCTACATCACTGTGCTGCACCAGTATTCTGACAATACTGCATTTTCTTTCTCCACCCGACCAATCAGTTCCTAAGACTGGCTATATGACCAGGTGGCACTTCATTATAGCCCTGTGACATCAAATATCTGATTACTTTCATATTTATCCTCCTATCGTCACAGGTAAAAATCCAAAAGGAGGATGCAGACGTCCCTGTTTCCCCCTAGAGTTACTGGAGGTCAGGATGACAATCACAACCAATGCTGACTAGACTCTGAAATTTGAATTCTTGATTGTTTCTGGAAAAAGGTTTGGATTTCCAACTTGAAATTTTAAGGCCTGCAAACACACACATTGAGAAGGAATTACTAATGCTTCAGTTTGTCAAGTTAGCAGAAGCTAAGGCATCACAGAAAAGGGTAGACTAAGGGTTCACTGCAACGCATCACTCTGTGAAACACAACAGACCGCCCTGGACACTGGGAATTTACCGCTGAAAACACGCCAGCACTTCTTGGCATTGCATACAGACACTGCACAGCTCCAGCTGACGGATAGTGACGATCAGTTTAGGTAAATTTACAGGCAAAATGTTGCTTACCCATTCCCACAGAGATCCAGAGAGGGAATCGGCACCCCCAACCGGCTGTTTTGGGTGACATATGTACATTCTCTTACAATTCTATTATAATTTATCTAAACTACACCTCAAACATCATGAAGAAAAGCAAATGGCAGAGAGGAGTTCCACCTCAGGTGTGGCTTCCAAAACTAATCCTTGTTTTGTTACAGATTACTAACTGGTCTCTCAGAGGGATCGAGAATAATTTATTCAGTAAAACTACAAACTTCATATTCTATTTTAAAAACGGAACGTGGCAACAGGTGGGGCGGTGGTTTCATTCCTAAGCCCCACAGGAACACTTAAATACACCCAGATACCAAAGATGCAGCGCCAAATCCCTAAGCTTGAGATTCAATCTTGCTCCACCCGAGCTCACCAGGACAAGTACCTTCATTTCCTTTCACTTTGGTTCCCACAAAAAAGAGTGGATAAAGGGACCTGAGAATTTGGAACTTATGCCCAGGGAGACACGTGAGAGGACGCAAACGACAAATTAAATGGCTGGGGAAGTAATCCATTTGACAGAGCGCTTGGGCTCCACAGGAGCAGCCAGTAACTGAGTGAGCCTGGTGGCACCTGACTAAGATTTCTGCATTTGGGAGGTGAGGGCAAGAGGATCAGAAGGTCAATGTCACCTGCTGCAGCTTAGACACAGGAAGCTGTCCTTGAAAGAAACCAAACTGTATTTCAGCAGAGAATGGTTCCATTTACTATTTGCCCATGGCTGGGGGAGGATAGTATTAGCTATCGCTGGAACCAAAGAATCTAAGAGGGTGATCTTAGGTTCTTGTAGACCTTTCTATCAAATAAAGGCTGAGAAAACTTAAGGGGGTTAGCTGTTTTGCCCACATTAATTTAATATTTCTACAGGCAGAATAAAGGCTCCAAGTTCGAGAAACAAACTACTCACACTTTGTGGTCCATGCATCATGTAATCAAAATTGTTTTTTTTTTTCTGGGGCGGGGCGGATGTCCCTTTTAAACGTAGGGAGGGGAGTAAAATCTTAGTACTCCGTCAACTAGTGCCCTTAATTGCAAACACATTCTCACAATCACATCTTGCAGAAAGCATCACTAACATGTGGAGGTAGGGAAATCAACACCTGTGAAAACTCAGCAAAACTTGGGTGTCAGACTGGTGACCTTCACCCTATGTAAATTTCACCGCATAAAAGTGACTTCTAAGAGGCATGAAGATGTCAATTTACTAAACTGCAAACTCAAGGCTGTTGCAGTATCATAGTCCAGCATTGGCACAAGGTAGCTGTTTGCACTGTTTGCTTAGTATGCACTAAAAGAGCGAACAGCCATTCCCTAGACGGATTCTTAGACTCAAGAAGTGAACATTTATCCTATTCACTATTTCGGATTACGGTTTTGAAATAGGGTCTCTCTGTTTCTAACTGGCGGCAATCCTCCTGCCTCTGTTCCGCAAGTGCTGAGATAACCTGGCGCAGTTTATCGCACCAGGCTAATGACGGACAGATTGGGAACAGGGTAAAGAAAAAAAACTGCACTACTTTAAATCCCGCTCAGTATAAAGAGCGCGGGAAGCAACTCCGACAGGTAGAGCCGTCCACCGCGGTGTGTCGACTCGGCCAGAGGCTTCAGGTTCTGCTCCCGGGCTCCAGGAGCAGCGAGCTCCGAGCGGTCTGAGGAGCGCTTGATTGACAGTCGCCCGTCCAGCCCGGCTCCATCACCCGCCCGCGCCCCTCGGGAACCCCCGGGCGAACTGACGACTCCGCCACCTGTCAGCCTCAAGTCCAGGAGGAAATTCTGGGAGAGCTGCTTCACCGCTCGCAGTCCGAACAACTTAATGATCTCTCGAATGGTGGGCAACGGGGGAAGGCGGAAAGAGCCGAGATTTCCCGCAGAACGCATGAGGCCGACACGCGCAGGCCAGGCACCCGCGCCGCGGCTTGAAGGGTCCACCACGCAGGGAAGGCGGGGCCTGGAGACGATGACCCGCCTCCGGGGCCACCTTATTGGTTGTAGAAACATACCGGAAATGACGATTACAGACAGGAAGTCTGTCATTACCGGGAACCTACGACGGGCAGAGAGCGGTGCAGGCTGGGTGCGGAGAGGGGCGGGGCCTAGGATGGGCGTGTCTTGTGGGCGTGACGCTGTAGCCCCGCCTCTGGGAGGCTCCTTAGGCCTTTCAAGGGCCAGACTTTTGATTAGTAGCGGAAAGATGGTGAATTGTTTTCTGTTGGTAGGTTTTTCCCCGTCATAGGCTAGGTATTTTTATTTCCTCGCGCCTCTTCTCTCAGCCTCAGTGTTTTCTTCTATTAAGTAGTTCAAAATTGTCAGCGTCTCATGAGAGCGGCCACCCTGTGTATGCATGGCATGGAGTGAGGTCAGCTTGCTGTCAGCTGCGACCAGTTACCATAGCAATGATTTGTCAGCTGAAGAAGTTTCACCCGGGTACCTGATCGCATCCGGGTTTGTGGAGAGCGCTAGCCACTAGAATTCCGACCCTTCTGACCTACCAAGCTGAGGAGAGACTCACCTTTTTAAAAATTAGTGTGTATTAATTTTACGAAGTTATGGGCTTGTTTGTGACTTTTCCTACATATGCACATAACATACCATGATCATACTTACTCCCTCTGTAACCATCAGTTTTTCCTCTCTCCATTGTCTTGTTCACACATAATAGTTCTTTTACTTCCAGCTCTTTTCCCCCTCCTATATGTAGTGGGGGAAAAAAAAAACTTGCATTATTCTTGTCTGAGTTTGGCTTATTTTTCTGAAGATGTTAATTTGTATCCAGCCACAGCATGCCTCAGAACTTCGAGAACTATAGGCTCTTTGAATAGGTAAGCTAGCTGAAAACCGAGTTTAGGAATTAGATTTTTGAACAAACAGCTGAATGTCCACCAGATAACAGCACCCCAGCTTTAATCAATAGCAGGAGGCCAACTAACGCCAGTAAAGCAAAACACCTGGCTATAATCAACTAGATTGTCTCTAGATCACTTTGCTTTTCTTGTCGTTAACAATGCCTGACATTTTCTGGTCAGGGTTCTTTGAAAGAATTCCAAGGGCTGTCTAGTTGTACAATTGTGAATAAAAACCATTTTGGATCTTTAAATATACCATAATTTTGTCTCTTGACTTAAGAACTTTCAATTTTGCAAAGTGTTTCGATATTATTTGTTAGTACTGTTTCATATTCCTTAAAAAAATCTCTCAGTAGTAGTTTTGTGAAACAGGACACATATTGCTAACTTCAGTTTAAGGCAGGTTTGAGAAAGCCTGATGAGGCCATGTAAACTCACAAAGCTAGAAGGATCACGGATTCCAGGCGTAGTTTACATGTACAGTGACTGCCGTTTTTTAAGCAATGCCAGCACAGTCAGCATCAGGATCGCTCTGTGTTTAGCTTTTGGAGAGTTTCCAAGGCCCTTTAGTGGTGCAAGCTTTGCAATCTCCCCTGCTCTCAGAGTGGTATTTGGAAAGGGAACCACAAAGGGATGATACTAAAATACCTCAACTCAAGAAAAGTGTCTGCTTCCCAACAGAATGCTTAGAATCATTCTTCCAATTGTTATAATACCCCAAGTGGATAGATTTTATTATGACATAGGTTAAAGGTGAGACAGAATTGCTCAGCAGCTTCTCCACACTTCTAAGTGGAAACGGAAGGCTTTCTCATTCAGTGGGAAAGGCAATGGAGAAAGACCATTCGATGCTTACATCCAAGTACAGAGAGAAGACAAATTAGACTTCTGTCCTCTCTGACATCTGGGGAAACAGGAAAGAAATGGGAACTTCAGATCTTTTTCATGCATGGGAGAATTTTACTCCCTTAGCTCTGCTTTCATTCACAAGAGGCTGCATTGGTTACAACCAACTCACACGCTGTTTATGTTTCTGGTAGTTACTTAAAAAAAAGAGGAGAAAGCTATTGGGGGAACCAAACCACTGTGGGCCCGATGAAGAAGAGAAAAGTCCATGCACCCACTTTTGCTTTGCTAGATCAGCAGGAACAAGGGGATAACTGACAATACCTCCTTACTTTAGAAAACAAGGGGCGTGGCAGGTGTTTCCCAAAGCGTCATGAAAAACCTAAATATTTGATTCAGTGATCTATTCCCCATAAAACACTATACCTAGAAGGCATACATTCAGCTTATTTTTTTAAATTCTGTGTTCCTGTGGTAATGAGATTGTTATCACTGTCCAACTGTGAAGAAAAATGGGCAGGTACAGTCATTTGTCCTACCCAGAGCCACACAGCAACGGCTTCTAGAGAAGACAACCCGAGTTATCCCAGTTCCAAGTTTAGTGGCCACATCCTTCAAACGCTGTGTCAACTGAAATTATTTTAAGCTAATTAACATGTTAATTTCATGCTATTTGAATATATAGAAATATGAATCTAGGTATAGACTTAAATCTACAGTTTCCACATGACTGCTTAAAACACAATATAAACATATGCAAACCTACAAAATAACTGTACATGGCTTTATTACTTTATAATGAAGAATGATGTAAAAATCACTACTTTTTATGTTGTCTGGATTCTTTTATTTCCAGTTCGACTCACTCATACTACAGTATACCATATATAGTAAAATGTTCTTGTAAGTTTTCTGGATTAAAACAAATCTGCTTAAAACCTGTTTCGTTATCACCCAGGAGAACATGGGAGGCACATATTGTGTCTGTTTCTGCTTCCATTAGCTTGGGAAACAACTGAAGTTGAATCATTTGGCACTAAGGCTGTCAGAAATACACACACTGTATGCCGATCATAAGAAGAATGTTCAGATGACCTAAGATTTATCATATGAGCTTTTAAAAGTAGTGATATCAACTTAAAAAAAAATCACATGGTCATAAAGAGCATTTTCGATTCCCGAGACATTGTCCCCAGATCTAACTAGGGACTTCACCACGCCGTCTTCAGTAATCTTCATTTGTGAGGTGATGGCTCATTTACAAAGCTATGGCCCAGGCCACTTCATTCAGTTCTCATTTAAATCCTTTGTTAAGTTTCCCAAAGGCATCCAGTCATTGCCCCGTTGCTATTAAGTGCTGGAGTTGAATCTAGAATTGAGATCTTTTGATTTTTACTTTTTTTTTATTAACCTCACATTAAATAATTATTGAATAAAATAAAAAAAATTCTGTCTTTGGAAAGTCTTCCAAGTTTTTAATAATTCTTGAGTCCTAGTTTTTAGCATCATAAATATCTGATCTTAAGCCTTTGAATTTCAGAAAATTATGCATAGCTCCCTGCAAAAGCCTGTGAAATCAGCAGGGGGTGTTTTAGTAGTATATTATCCCTTAAAAGAGAGCGATGTAGTTTCATCAGTTTTGAAGCTTTGAAGTAGCTGCTTCATCTAGATACAGATTTTAATATGCTAAAATATTATAATTAAAACAGAAATCACTAGCCCCCCCTATCTGTGAAGAGGAAGCACTACAAGTGATTCATACTAAATGATAATGTGGACTTGTGATTTGCATGAATCCCAGAATAGCAATATAGGAAACTTATTATTTTAGTTATCTATTTTAATGAAAATGCATGTGACTTTATTGATATTGGTAATTTAGTGTCTGTGGGAAAAATGCTAATTCTAGCAGATTGTCATTTTGTAGTTCCCTAGAAGATACTTGAAAGCCGCAAAGACCCATATCTTCCTGTCACGTGGGAATTTTCAGAGAAAATGAAATGTGATTTGGAATTACCAAATTGGACTTTATAAAATGTCTATTTTTGTATGTGAAGTGCCCTTTTCAAATAGTATTTTGTAATTCTATAATATGACTCAATGCTCTGGGTAAACATTAAGGGCTAGACTTACCACACATTTAATTTAAAAAAAATGGCAGTTTGATGCCCATGGTCCTCAAAGGGAGCTTGTGACCTACCATGAGGGAAGAAGAAACGTGATCATACTGAGAGGGTTGAGGATAGAAAGCAGGGCAACCTCGAGGAGTAGCACAGGCTCTGTGCTTGAGGGACTAGAGCCAAAGAACCCTGTTTTAAAAAAGATGGTGTTTATCACTATTCCAGGCAGTTTTGGAAGCTTGCTTATTGCCCTCAAAGATCTGTGAATTATTTTCGCGTAGCCTAACAAAGGGATGTGGGCAGCCCTTTTAACTAAGGGTGACTAGGAAGACTTGGGGAACATGAACAGCTTGTTTTTCTCACAACAAAGCAAATCTTATATGGATGAACAATAAACCAGCAACTGATAAAGGCATTGTAAGGATCAGTCTTTATTATCCTTGAAACTCAACATTTCATTGGCAAAAATCTTAGGAACATGAATGCATTGGCAATGAAGACGTTCTGTCTCTTAGAAATGTAATGGGGAGGCCCATTGCTGCATGACCAGGAGTCTGGGTTTACTAATTCAGCTCCTGTTCCCTCTCTGGCAGGGGTATATGAGCAGGCTAGGGAATAAGACAACCTCTATTCCTTTATCTCTGTCTCAGGTTCCTTATTCTTGCTC